GCAGAGACCCCCATGCTATTGTCCAAACTACTCCAGTTATGGCCTCTCACTCAAACTGGAGCAAAAGACTCTTGATTTGAATATTTATCTTACCTCCTCTCCCTCTCCCCCAAGAGAGTTCCATCTGCCAGAGAATTACAGGGCACAAAGACAGTTCCCTCAGACACCAGCACTGGGACCCAGGCCTTTCTTCATCTCCCTTCCAGGTCTGGGGGGTACTTCTGTCTGCCAGGACTAGGTCCTGGCCATGATGCTACCTCTCTTGTCTCTGGGTCTCAGTTTCCTCATTTGTAAAGCGTTTGGATGAGACTGGTGATCCCTAAGGCTTTTTCCAGCTCTGTCAGCTCTGAAATTTTATGAGAGCTTGGAGATCGGTATCTGAATTCCTGTGCTGTTACGAACTAGCTGTAACATTTGAACAAGTAACCTCTGCTCCCTGTACCTCTCCTAGGAAAGATTTGCACACTGGGTGACCTTGAGACCCAAAAGAGATAATGTGTCTGTCGTGGTGGTGATTGAAAAGTCATTGTAAATGTAGAAGGTGTTGTTTTCCATTTGGGGCGTGGCACCTGAGTGATCCTTGTCTCTCTACATGGTCCATTGTCTCCCTTTTTCCTCCAAAGCCCCATTGGCTTTGCCCTGTGAGCTGGTGTTTGCTCTGTCCTCCTCTGCTCACCAGTCACTCAACTGCACTCACTGGGAGTGCTGGCCTCCCACGTTCTCCCAGGTGTCTACACGCTGACCTAATGTAACAGGCTTAAAATAATTTCAGATTTGCCTTAATTTGGACAGAAAGGTTGACCTGAAGCACACCGCTGGGCTGTTTTTGCAAAGGGCTTCTTGCCCAAAATATTTAAGTATATGAGTCAGAGATGAAATTTACCTACCTAAGAACACACTGTTTTTAAAGCACCTTTAGGAGTACCAGATATATATGCACAGCTTAGTTACAGTATAACCAGAGAGTAACCTCACTTAGGTTGATGTAAAAACAATTTTTGTCTCTTAAGGAAGACCCATCAATTTACCTTTTAGCCTTCCCAGAATATTCCAGAGTGGGGTAGGAACAAATGCCGTGGTTTGTATCTGTACCTTTGTGGCTAGAACAACCCTGAGATTTGAAAGCTGCACTAGATGCTAGACACTAGAAATAGTCAGTTGACTTGTCAGTTCCTCTTGGTCCATAGATTAAGTCTGAGAGTTGATTAATTTGAGGCTGGTGTGTGGGCTGTGGGGCAGAGATAGAGCAAAGGGGATTACTTACTAATTTAAAAGAATAAATACATTTGCAAGGGAGAAGGTGAAACTAGGTAGGATTTACCTCTTGATCATGTATATATAAACCATCGATTCTATAGAATTTACATCCTGATTGCTTTTCTGCAAGAAACCTGACTTCTCTCATCTGACAGTAACAGAACTATTTCTATATGAAAACAAGCTTCCCCTTCCTTTACTCAAACTTGTTCACACTTTTTGCTGATTTCAGATCACCCCTTCCCTTGGGGCTGGTCAGAATAGAATGTTCTTTAGTTTCTACCAGAGAATCTAGCTGTGCTTTTTTTGAGTGTACAGAGAGTTGGCTGAAAAATAACATAATCATAATAAAAATAAATAGCTAAGTTTAACTGGGCACTTACCATGTGAACTGAGTGCTTTATTTACATTTTGTAGTTTAATCCTCCCAGCAACTGAGTGAGGTAGGTATTATTATCTCCCCCTTTTTAAATAGTCATGGACAGGCTGAAGCTTGGTTTGACCGCGAACCTTTCCAAAGCTGCAGAGGGCTGGAAAGTTCAGTGGTTCAGTTAAAATGAAGTGGCAGAGCTGGTCAGTTAAGGAAGGTAGGCTGCAGTCTGACTCCGTGACCATTGCTTTCCGTCTCCTTGTAACTTCTTTTTCTTCAAGAAGACATCTTGGAAACTCCCCAAGACAACTTACGAACAACCTCTCAGTTGAGAACCATGGTTGCATTCACTCGGTGCTCCTTCAGCAAAGGGAAGTGACCTTGCTGGGCACTCCCGGCACTTCCTGCAGGCAGAGACCCTGCCTGCATCCTCTGGGTCTTCTTTTGTTCACTGTTGTTCCTTCTCCTGCAGCACACCTGGGGCAGGTGTGCCCATAACGGTGGATTCCAAGCCTCAGAGGAACATGGCAGCAATTCCTCATTCAATTCCAGTTATAAAATGCTAAAGGACTTGGAGGCAGCTTTCAGCCTGAGGATTTTGTCATCTGGAGTCTGTTCCTTGGAGCCTGGCCTGAGGAAAATGCCGAGGGCCCTGGGGAGAAAGGGCCCGTGTTTGGGCCTGTGGGCCTGGCTGGGGGCTGGGAGGCAGTGGCCCCGAGCCCATACGGATGCAGTGGGCGCTCTCAGTGAGCATGTGGCCCTTGGGACCTTCTGAGCTGCGAGGTCACATTAAATCCGTCAAAACAAAGATTTGGTCTCAGTCTCTTCCTCAGGCATGTGCTTCCGTCCCCAGCAGCCTTGGCTGGGACTCTGCAGGCCCAGGAGGAGGGGCGCCCTGTGCAGCCTCGGAGCTGGACTTGGGTGGGGTACCTTCCTCACGGAAAGGGAGGCTGGCCTTGGCCGTGGGAGCCAAGGGGCCCGGGGGTGAGTCGGCGTGGCCACCTGGCCCCAGAGCCAGGCTTCCCCAGAGGTGATTATTGGCCAAGGAGGAAGAAGCAGCAAGCCAGGCCCCATTAAAATGCTGCCACTGGCAAGGAGTCATCCCTCGGAGGCATCCCCTGTGGGCTGGACAGAATCTGAAGGGGCGAACTCCAAGTTTCCAGCAGTACTTCCCACCTGAACCTCTGGGGGTTCCCAGGGGAGCTCTGGCCCGCTAGGAGGCCGGCTTGCCGGGTGTTTCTGACACAGCCGAGAGCAATCATTGCCACAGCCATCCTGCATCCGGCCACCGGCCCGTGCCAGGTGCTGGACTCACACCGTTTTCATTGCCAGAGCCCTTGAGGTTTGGCGCTGTTATCCCCATGTTATAGATGGGGCTCAGAGAGCTAAGTAACATGCCAGTTCGTAACTGGCTGGATCAGGATTCAAACCCAGGTCTGTCTGGGTTTCTTTCCATTCCACCCTTCCTCAGAAGGTAGCACTAACCTGCCTTAGGACATTGATCTTGGGTGAGAATCTGGGGCAGGAACCATGGCCACGGGGTTATGGATTGTCTCCACGAGAGGAAGCAGGAGTGAAACATGGTCCTGGGGTAAAGGCATTGACTACAGTTTCCCTGCATGGACAGCAGAGGTAAATAAAAATGCTCATTTTTTACTGGTAGGAACAAGATGCCCTACATCTTGTTCTTATCCTGATTTCTATGGGTAGGTCTCAATGAAGCAACTAGTTTTGGGGAAAGCTGCGATGTTTGGTACCCACACGAGAGCAGAAGCCTTTTCTGTAGCTTTTCTGTCTTGCTGATAACTTCTGGATTTTACCCAGGCTGTCAAATCTCTCCTTTACCCCTGTACCCCTTGTATCCCTCACCACTTGGTTTGTATGCTGTTATTGTCCATTCTCAATTCTAACGTGTCCTTGATCCCAAGAGGCACCTTTTCCGCACAATTTAATGCCTGTACAATTGGCACACATCTTGTAATTGAGGTCTACATTTAATGTGGCAGGGCTGTTTAAATTGTTGTTATATTTTTAGAATGGATGGAGACCAAGAATTTAGGAAATATGGTAATTCATGCATTTATTCAACTCATCAAATGCCCACAATAAACGTCAGGCATTGTGCTAGATGCTTGGAATATAGAAATAGCCAATATTCAGTCCCTTGCCTTAGGGAAGTCACAGTCTAATGGGGGAGATAGACTAGACAGATCAGCAGTTAAGCTCATTGTAATAAGGGCTCTGAATTTGGGGAACCAGGGTGTGTGGAGGGTCGGAGGAAGGAGGGAGAGGAGGTGGGGAGGCTGGGGGCACCTTAAGGAGAAGGTGTATCATGAATGGGGTGGGAAGACAGAGGGTTTGGGAGTGTGCTGGGATGGGTTGGGGAATGGTATTCTGGGCAGATTGACCAGTTGGAGCAAACAAAAGTTCAGAATCATGAGACACTAGGATGTGTTTGTGAGCCTCAAAGGCTCATTCCAGCTTGTGGCTGGAATGGTGGGTGTGGAGACCTGGGAGTAGAATGAGGCTGTGGGGATAGGCAGGGGGCAGATCATGGGGGCCCTCAAGCTCGTGCAAATCGGCATCATCTCCATCCTGAGTACAATGGCCAGTCGTCGAGGGGTTTTACGCAGGGGGATGATGCCCTGATTTGTGTAGAAAGTGGGTGGGAAAAGGATGGTGGGGCGGGGTGGAGGACGTGGACAGAATGACAGCTATTTAGGAGAAAGGAGAGTTACTCCGAATGAAGCCAAAAGCCTCATTCTTATTTACTATTCCCAGGCAGCGTGGACCTGATCCCGGAGACTTGAGGAAGATCACACAGTGGTGCCGCAGGGCATCTAGAGCTAGAATCTGCAGGCCCAAGTGGCCTTGTTTTTACCTTAACCCCATCACATGTGCCCTTTTCTCAAGAAAGCCATGTGATCAATAGGCAGGCTGACTATAGGAACGGATGCTGGGAAAAGCTAGAAAAAGAAGAAAAGCTTTTCCCTTGTCTCTGCTTCTTAAAGAAGGGTCATATCAACCTACAGTGGTGACATTCCAACTTGTACTTGCCAAATTAGTTCACCAGTCAATTTTTTACAAGTGGATGGAATACACAGCGGACGGATCCGAGTACGGTATAAGAGATTAAGCATTAAATGTCGTAAGGAAACAGTAAATTGCTATGGTTGCTCCCGGGGGTCGCACAGAAAATGTAATCAACGTTGTCTGGCCAGACTTCAAAGGACACTCGGGGGAGGGATGCTGGGTGAGAGGTAGAAGGAGTTCTCCGCTATGCTGGGGATGCTTTGAAGGAGGTGGGAGGTGATTGTGGAATACTGTGACCCAAGACTTACGGTTCTTTTCCCCTTCCCACTTCCCCGAACAGGTGCAGTGCCATACTTACACGGGGTACTGCTGGTGTGTCACCCCAGATGGGAAGCCCATCAGTGGCTCTTCTGTGCAGAATAAAACTCCTGTATGTTCAGGTACCGTAGGGAAGGGCGGGAAGAAAGAAAAGGGTGGGAGACGGACCCCTTGGCTGGTCTCCTGAATCTTGTGGGTACACTTTTGAAAGATTGGTGGTGGTTATGAGCCCTCTTCCAGGTCAGGGAGGAGTCTACCCAAACATGCTTGCTCTGTTGTCAGCTGGGTGATAGGGCCAGTGTATGTCTGTGTGTATGTATTTATTTTGAGTTTAAGTTTCTGGTTCAATGCTCTTTTCTCAAGCATCGGCCATAACCTCTAGAGAGCATGGCATATAAGTTTGTACCTTGTGTGCTCTTGGTTGGTAGTGACCCTGGGTGCACACTTTATTGAGATAAATTTCAAGACTGCGTTGGAGTTCAACATCAAAGGCTGTGACAACCAATTAGCGATGTCTTTCACGGGTGCAGGAGAGGAGAGTGGTGGCCTACGTTGCCATATGTTTGCAACCCCTGAACAATGTAATGTACGGTGATGGAAAACATTCATAACCGCGGCCCTCAAATCTGGCTGTCATCAGCAGTGCCTAGGGAATTTAAAAAGAACCCAGGTGTGGAGGCTCCTCCTTCCGTGTTCGGATCCAGCGGTCATGGAGACTTGGAGTCCACATGTTTAGGAAGCTTCTCAGGTGGTTCTCATGATGAGACAAGTTAGGGAACCACTGCTTTATAACAACCCTCTGGGTGAGTCCATAGGAAAAATTAAGCCCTTTTTATTTCCAACTTTATAGGCATGGAGAAATTTTGTTCTTAGGTCAGTTTTGTGGGATTGTGCATTACGGATTTAGGCAAGCTTCGCACTTCCCACTTCCATTCAGATGGGAAGGGACTTCAAGACCCTCCTTTAATTCACTATGCAGCTCAGCCCACGTTAACAAAAAAAAGCCTATCCCATCCACCAGCTGCTTCCTATTTCTCTGTAATCTGTGTATATGAGATTTTATTTATTTACTTATTTTTAATTTTTAAGTGCAAGCAAAGTATAAAACATTATTCTAAAACCTCTGGGAAATTCCAAAGACAGTCCTGCTGTCCTAACGTTTTCCTTTTTTCCCCAAATTTATTCATTTTTCAACCAGCCCTGCTATATAAGGGGAAAAGTGAGTGGAAAGGGCAGTAAGTATCTACATTAGGAAACCAAAATGTGCAGGCCAAAAAGGAAAGTTTACTTTATTTGTGGTTTACATGGAAACTGGAAACCTTAATTGGGCTTGGTGTGGGGAGGGGGAGGAATGAGGCCTCCTTGCAAATGACCTGGAAAGTTTCATTTAAGGCAAACAAATGTGCTAGAAACAAGTCATGCAGGGAAATATAATTGAATTCGCACAAAGCTAGTATACGGAGAAGGGGTTGGATACGGATTGCGATGTGTTTCTCCTCTTTTGTCGCGGGGACTTCCACAGATTCCCTGGTGTGCCTCGGCTGGCTGTGCCCTGCATGTGCGGGGTTGGGTGTCATGGGAAAGGCAGGTGCAACAGGGTCAGGACCGTCGGATGGCGGCACAGGGCATCCAAGCACGTGCAGGGCGAAGCGTTTGGCCAACCCCCCAGACTGCCCCCTCCTTGAGGAACACGCTGCATCTAGAAAATTGTTTCCATGCTTCAGACTATTTTGGCCCATTCATTACAATTGGGCCAACAATTTTCTACTTAATGCAGATGGAAAATCGCCGATTTCCTGCCCTAACCAGCAAGGGATGTCAGTCATTGCATTTGCAGTGAGAGGGGTTTTCTTTGCAGTTGGCCCCCCTGGCTGGATAGGGCTCAGAACATGGAGTTGGTGGGAAGTGGAGGTGAGGGGCAGTCCGTGGAATGTTCAACAAAGGAGTTATGTGGTTGTGGAATTTTGTAAAAATCTGGTCAAGACTATTGCCAGGGAGCCTGGAAATCATTGTTCATCTCAACAGTGCTGTGATATCAGTGACATTGATGTTAAACAAACCCCAGTCGCATGTATGTATGTACTCACTTTGTATATAATGTTCCTAGATGTGTATACAATATATATATATACATAACCACATGCTCATAACATCAGGCTTTACCAACTCTTTGAAAGAAACCAACCGCGACGCATTCTGAATGTCTGTGTTTTTGTTTCCCCTCTCACCCAAGGTTCAGTCACCGATAAGCCCGTGAGCCAGGGTAACTCAGGAAGGAAAGGTGAGTGGAGTTTCATGCTTTATCTGAATGTTTGCTTCTAAAGCCAGTCCAAGCAGGCATTCTTAGACAAGATGGAAGGAGCCTGGGGTGAAAGCTAAAAGTGCCCTGCAGAAAATTCCCATTCTTATTCTGTGTTTCCTCCCAGAAGCCCAGAGGTAAGTAAGGCTCGTACGGTGGTGGGGACCAAGCTCCCAGAATTTCTGAGAGAGGTGAGCAAGTGCAGTGCACAGAGCTGGCAGGGACCCTGAGACTCTTGGTTCCTGGGAAGTTCAGTCAATAAGCTACCAGTGTAGCCAGCATTAAACAGAAAAGCACAACGAAGGCAGGGATGCCCAAGTCTGCCCTGACTCTTTTATTTTGGAAACCCATCTGAACATTTTCTCCTCCTTGATTTCCCTTGATAATTGTCCCAGCACATCCAGATTCTTTTCACTAAGACTAGATGCTTCATGGGCAGGTGACTTATGCAGCTGTTATCTTGAAATTCTTAATTATTTTCCTTTGAACTTGGGTTTTGTAAGTATAGTCCAGTGGGACAAAGAAGCGTGTGTGTGAGCAGAAGAGACACGTGTACTATACCTACCTGCTGCAGCCTCATTGGCAGAGGCTCTTGTGATGCAGGCTACAGGGCTTCCATGGTACGCTTAGAATTTTCACTTTTCATTACCTAGAACAACGCTAAATAACAAATTAAGAAACATCGTGACAAGTCAGGAGAGAGACTATGGAAGAGAGGATAAGCCTTGATATTTTAGTGTCTTTTGTGGCACCTTTTCCCCTGCTTTTCGAACAAAAGGCTTTGCATTTTCACTTGGCACTGGGCCCTACAAATTGTGCAGCTGGCCCGACTAGGGCATTTGTCTGAGCGCTGTTTAGCGGACCAGCCGACATGAGGAATAGGTCCTTGGGATGTGCTGACCATACCTTCCAGTGTGCTGACACTAGGCTTCACCGCTTCTTACTTCTAGGACAGCATACACACTGGTAGTTGCATGGAAAACAGGTATCGGTTTTATTGTACATGCAAGCACTTCAGAAGCCCCATTTTGTGTCCTCGGGTAAAACTCAGACCGGAGGTCTCGACTGAGTTGGAGCCCTCCCACCTGAATCTGGGCCTTGGGAACTTCAGGCTCATAAGAACCCATGTGGAGAGTTGGGCACGCAAGGATCAGTGTGGGGTGTACAGGCTTATCCTCCACCGTGGTCACAGGGAGACCAAGGCAAAGCCTTGGACCTTGCCCCAAGTGCTTATTCCTTGGGGACCAGAACAGGAGGCAGAGTCCCACTGCCTGAATGCAGGAGCCGAGAGTCTGGAGAACATGCTGTCGCTGCATGCTGTCCCTCCAAGAAGACGTGGAAGTGGAGCTTGGTGATTCCACCACCCAACAGAAACCATGGACCAAGCGACCCGATGGGCTGCTCCCCTTCCAGCGAGCAGGAACGAGTAAGTGGGTGAAAGAAGGGAGCAAGCACCTTTCCAGGTCCTTCCAAGCACAGGGGGAGACAGCCTCAAGTGTTGGTAGTTCCCTCCTAGGAGGGAAAGGAGGAGAGGGGATGAACGTTTCTTTCTGCAAAGATCTGAAATCATCAACACTGTGAGTGGCGTGTCTGCCTGTAATTTATTGGGGTTGGAAAAGGGAGCTGCCTTCAGTTTTGCTTGTTGCAACTGAAGTCTTCAGGAGCATAGCCTTTATTCCTGGGCATCAGGTCCTGGTGGTAGGGGAAAAAAAGAGCAATCGTGCAAAACGGACCACCCAGACTTTCCCCACCAAAGGGAACTGAGTACACGATGCTGAATGAAGCACCTGCAGCAAGAAAGGCCAACCAGAGGATTCTGGATCTTCAACTGCACAGAGAAGTACTTCCCCGCTTGTCCTTTCAAGTTTGTTGTGGCTTTGTACCCTGTGGATAACAGTAAGAACCAGACCTGTGGTCATGGCGGGCTCTTGCTGATCCAGTTGGAAGAAGGCGGGGGAATCCAATTCCTCCAAGGATGATGCAGGGAACAGGGGGGTAGAGTCTGAAGCCTCGTGTCAGGGGGATAAGTTTCCAGCAGTTTCTAGCTCTTTGCTCCCTTACCCCGGTGGGTTCCTCCCTCCTAGATGGTTGTGTGGAGGCTTCCTTTTTGGTGCAAAGGGCTGGCAGAGGGGTGGGGGAGATGCTAGGGCTGACTCGCCCCTGGACACTTGATTTCCGCCCAGTGGCCTCTCTTTCCTCCTACTTCAGAGGGTCCACAGAGGTGTTGAATCTCTTCTGTTTGTCTGCCACGGGCAGTGCAGTGAAAAGCAGGTTCGGGCCACCTGTAGGAAGGGCCACCTGAAGCCACACCTGTCCAGGAAGCTGGGGTTTGAATGGGAACAGGGTGCGAGAGGGCATTTATAATATCCTGTGTCAGCCCCGCCGAGGTCTCTTTTTCAGCTGCCGCTTAAGAATGGAATGTGCTCCGGAGGGCAGCAGGTGGGAGGACACAAAGGGCCGTTGTCTGAGCTCATGCCCACATGTGGGGTCTCCTAGAAGGCATCTCCCTGGAGCCGGAGCTTGCAGCCCAAGACCTGCCCAGAAGGATGCTAGGCCCAGAGGACGGCCAGAAAGGGGGCGAGGCCGGGGGTCTGGGTGTGTGTGTTGGGGGGTTGGTGGCGGGGGGTAGGAACGGACCCAGCTCCTTCTTTCCCCACCCTCTTGCCTTTTTGAACATGCTCCACGGATGGGGCTTGGAGGGATCAGTTCTCTCCACCGGGGAGGAATGAAAAGGCGTATTGTGCGATGGAGGGTCTGGTTGCCAGCCCGGAATCAGTCCTCCAAAGGAGAGGAGGAGAAAAAGGAGAAAGGCAGAGCGGGAGGAGGCTGGGGGAAGAGGCCCAGGGAGATAGCAGGAGGCAGGGGAGAGGGAGAGAGGCCAGGCGGTAGCAGGTCACAGCCGTCTGGCTCGCAAGGAGGTCTGGGTCGCTCCTGATCCTGGGTCCACAGGTGTGGGCCCGAGGGGAGAAGTGGGGGACGGAGGGAGGGAGGTCCGGTTATCTTACCCAGATGCATGTGCTCCGGGAGGGGAGGAGGGTCAGAACTTCAGACTATTTACTTAATCCCTTGGAATGTCCTTGCCTCGCTCTGTTCTTTGGGCCCCTTGTGTTTCACAGACTCCTTTATGGGCACATGTGTGGTAATTAACACATGCAGGGTAGGTCCCGGGCCATGTGTTTGAGTTTCAAATATCCATTGATCTGGGGCACTCCCATCCTGCTGCCCCTCCCTTCTCCGTCGATCCTCGCCCTTGGAGAGAGATGGAAGGAGTATGTGTGTGTTTTGGGGGGTGGAGGGCACACGTGCATCCACATGTGTTTTATTGACGCTACAGAGGAATATCAGAAGAGAGAAAAGGACCCCCAGCAGCCCCTTGAGCTCTGACGATCTGCTGCTAAAACAGTCGAAAGCTGCAGAAGTTGAGAGACAGAAAGGAATTTTGGGTTTCCACTGAAACAGGAAAGTGGATGGGAAGCAAAATATGTTTAGAGATGGTGGTTTTACCCTGAGAAGCTTTTCCTGGCCCCCCAAGGCTTGTGGATTTTCCTGAGGTGCCTCTTTTAGTAGGGGTCTTGATGCTAACAAATGTGGGTGAGTTGGGGGGTTTCCAGGATAACCAAACACAAAGTCAGGGACTGGTCCTGGGCTTCATTACTTATGAGATGTGGAAGGGAAGTTCTCAGCCTCCAGTGGGGTGTTGGTGGGGCAGGTGAAGAATGATTAAATGGGAGAATAGCGGGAGAGCACTTGGGCAATGATTTCTGGCAGTTCTCTGGGAACTTTTTCTCCCGAGCGCCCAGGACCTTACAGATCCCAGGGTGATGCTTCGATAGGGGGCAAATGAAAATTTAGGGTTATTGGGAGTTTTCTGCAATTTTCTCTTTTCCTGCTTCTTAGAGGCCTGGGAGTGAGCAGTGTAAGGAAAATGAGAGAAGAATAAAAACAATAGCAAACTGCTTACACTTTCTGCATGGGCTTCTGTGTTTGTGAAACCAATCTTGGAGAGAAGCGAAACTTCCAAAATCCAACCTACCTTTAATTTGCTGAAACTTCTTTTATTCCCCCACTGGCTACTCCGTAGTCTGTGTTCCAAGTCCAGAGTGAGTCACAGTTATTTCTCCAAGGTCCCTCTCTGGGTCTCAGTTTTTAGAATCTCTCCTGACGTCTGGTCTACAGGTTGGTGCCGACTTGGAGACCTTTGTCACTCAAGTGGCGGAGCTAACCTCGCTCTCACTCAGGGCTGAGGGAGGTGCTTAGGGCAGGGATGGTGGATGGCGGGCCTCCCAGATGAAGGGGACCAAGCAGCCTCTAGCCTCCACCCTCATGGTGGTTAAGCACACCTGAAGGAGGTTTACTTCATTGCCTCAAGCCTGGCTGAGGTGTGCAAGGCTGGCTATCTCAGGGCATTCTACACATGGAGCGTCACCCCTGTTCATGTGACTTTAACCTCTTCCCAGCTACCTCTTTTTTCTCTTCCCCAGCACAGAGGGGGAAGCTGGATCCATAACTGATCTTTCAGCCTTGCCATCAGATAGCTCAAGTCCGATTACCTACCAGGCTGGGCTGGATTTATTTTCTTTTATATATATATATATATTTTACATCTTTATTGGATATAATTGCTTTACAATGGTGTGTTGGTTTCTGCTGTATAACAAAGTGAATCAGCTATACATATACATAGATCCCTGTATCTCTTCCCTCTTGCATCTCCCTCCCTCCCACCCTCCCTATCCCACCCCTCTAGGTGGTCACAAAGCACCGAGCTGATCTCCCTGTGCTATGCGGCTGCTTCTGGGCTGGATTTGAATGGAGCTGGGCAGCTAATGACCTCTGTGGGTTGGCCTCGGCTCACACTGGAATTCCCTGTGGAGAAGCATTCATTCTGATACGTGCCTACTACAAACTGTCCCTAAGCAGCTCCAGGCCCATGAGAGGTGGCTCTTTTCCTCTCTGCATGCACGTTACTGCTGCTTTCTGGT